AAATGAGCATAATTTTAAAAGTTAGGTGACTAAATGAGTATAATTTTAAAAGTTAGCCAACTAAATGAGCACAAATCCGAAAGTTAAGTGACCAAACCAAAAGTTAAATCACTAAATGAGCACAAAGCCAAAATTTTGGTGACCTTTTAAAACTTCAAATAAATTAAGTGAACAAATAAGTACAATGTAAAAAGTGAAGTGACCAAAAATGACATAAACCCTATTTTTTATATAAAAACTTTTTAAAAATATTTTATGTATACGAAATACCTAATTATAAAAATAGGTGTATATATATATATATATATATATATATATATATATATATATATATATATATATATATATATATATATATATATATATATACAAAATGTATTTTACAAGAAAACATGTATACGAACATATATTTTATTATAAATACATTCTGTAAAAGCATATTTATATGCACCCCAAATAAGTGTTTGTATACAGTTCTTTTGTAAAAACATATTTATATATTTTTTTTATAAACGCCTATTTTATAATAAATGCATTTTTATTCAAACACTATATAAAATGTATACAAAAACATATTTTATAAAATATATTCAAACATATTTTTATAAACAAATGTATACAAACATGTTTATATATATATATATATATATATATATATATATATATATATATATATATATATATATATATATATATATATATATATAACTTTAAATTTGGTCCATGTAGTATGTCAAAAATTGAAACTTTGGTACAAAAAGTTTTGAAGTTGCACCATGGTCCAAAATAAGAATTCTATTGCATGTTTGGTCCAAAATTGTTTGAAAATATTTCAAATGACGGATTTGCCCTTTTAATTTTGTTTTTTTTTTCATTTTCTTTTATTTCCAACAATTAAAGAAAATTATAAATTAAAATACACACACTCTCTCTCTCCACTAAAAAAAACATCTCAAAAATATGGCTCTCTCTCTCTATCCCCTTTTCTCTCTCGTTTATGGCCTTCTGAGGATGAATGCAAAACATGAATCTAAAAGATTTATAGAAAAAAAAAAGATGAATGAACAGAAGAACATGAATCTGAAAGATTTATATTAAAAGAAGTTGTTCTTGAGCAAAGAAAATGAAACCAAGAACCACAAACACACTCGATTTCAGAATTTACAAAAAATACAACTTAAACAACTACAAACATGAAGTCAAGAACCACAAAGAACATGAAAGATCTACCCCTTTTTGTCTATGTACCTAAGTCAAAATTTATTTCCCTTCATCCTTTCATCATTCATACAAACACACCCCGATCTCAGTTTTGATTCAAATTTAGGGTTTCGATCGGGCTCTCATCTATTTTTCATATTTCCTGGATAACAGGTTTGGTCCTCCTTTTCTAATTGATCACAATCCTTCAATCTTTTTGAATTTGATGTTGCAGATCTATCATTTCTGGAACTGAAGCTCTATCAAGAAAACAATGTGTGTATCTGTATGTTGTGTTCTTGGGTCACAAGAATCCTTTGTTCCACTACCACTAGAATTACCAAAGCCCCTTTGATCTGTTACCGATTTGGTAGGGGAATGAACAGAAACTATAGAATTTAACGTTAGTGCACCATCGATGGTGAGGGGATGATCACAGTGACGAAGATACAACTGTTTATTGGAAGAAAAACTTAAGAAACAACCACCATCTTCCGCCTCCATTACAATCTTCGGGTAATCCAACGACAAGGAGATCTCCTACGATGTCCCATTCCGTCACCAACCCAAAAAGGAAGGAAACCAATGACAACCTGCAAGTATTTCGAGGGTTGGTGAGGGATAATACCTTGGCTACAAACCCTTTTATTAGTTCTTCGATTATGAGATCGGGTGAGGAAGAAGATGGGGTTGGGAAAACGAGAGGATATTGGGTGTTATTTATTTCCAGACTTTTAGATATGAACGAGAAGATGAAGTTCAACCACTAGAGATTGATTGAGTGTCCAAATTGTGTATGTTCTTGAGAGAGATTTTATTTTTTATTTTTAAATTATTTAAATACCAAAATAAAGAAAGAAAATAGAAAAAAGAAATGAAAAGGGAAAAATCGACTTTTCAAATGTTCCAAGGACCAAAAACCCAAAAAAAAAAACCTCGATTTTGGACCTTCCTTGCAAGCTGGAAACTTTTTGGACCCTATCCAAAGTTTTATGAATACCACAATAACCAATCCTATAGTTTTGTCATATATATATATATATATATATATATATATATATATATATATATATATATATATATATATATATATATATATATATATATATATAAACATGCTTTTGATAAAAAAAAATCATTTGAGAAGTAAATTATCGATAACTAAATTATCCTTTTAAATGTATACTCTAAATAATAGTTATATAAGAATTAATACCATAAAATAATAACTCATTCAAAATTCAAAAGAAATTTTAATCACTGATAAAAAATGTTCGTCTTCAAATTAAAAAAAACAAAATTTATTGTTATACAAATTTTTTTTCAACTCACACAATATTATATTTTTGCTTTAAACCCAAAATAATATATCAAAATGGGTTAATTTCAAAGTTATAAGTTACCATCTTCCAAATCAAATTAGATTTCACTGTTAGGAGTTTACTCTTTTATTACATTCGTGTCAAAGTTGAATACTCAATCATATATGTTACCGAGTATAAATAATATTGAAAGAAACTATTCACACATATCGTTTGGCATGAGTAAAAGGCTATGTATGTTTGTATGTGTGTGTGTGTGTATATATATATATATATATATATATGTGTGTGTGTGTGTGTGTGTGTTTGTTTGTATACAAATATATTTATAACAAAATAGGTGTTTGTATAGATTTTTTTTTGTAAAATATATGCTTGTATACATTTTTTTATAAAAAGGATTTTTTATATATTTATATACTTAATAAATACATATTTTTAAAAATAGGTATTTCATACACAAAAAAGTTTTTTTTTTAAAATAAGTTTTTATATAGAAAATATAAAATTTTTATGTGAAAATATGTTTTTTTGTATAAATATGTTTTTTTATAAGAAAAAGCATATTGGAATTTTTTTTTGAAAAAAAAAATTATAAAAAAAAAAAACTAAAGTTATGATGAATTTATAACAAAATTCTAAAATATAGGTCAAAATGGTAACTTTTGGACCATATTTATAATAAAATTTAAAATCTAAGTCAAAATTGTAAATTTTGGATTTAATTTGTAAAAAAAATAAAATTTAGACTAAAAGTGTAATTTTTAAAAGTTAGTTTATCTGTTGACTAGATAAAAAAATCAAATTGAATACGATTATTATTTTTTAGGAGTTAATTGAATAAAAAAATATAAGTATTAAATCAATTACGAAATTAATATATAAGAACTTTTTTATGGTTTACCTTAAATTTAGTAAGTAAATTTAATAAATTAAATACGGCGTCCAAAATATCGAGGATATTTTATTGAATGAGAACATAACACTCTTTCTTATATTTTAAGATTAAGGACTTGTTTGGTACAAAGCTTTTTTTTAAGTGTTTGGGAGTTTCTAGTTTTTAGTTTTTCATAAAACGCTTTAATTTAAACAAAAATTTTCATTTGACAGTACGAGCATTTAGTTTTTAGTTTTAACAAAACGTTCTGATTCTAAAAACTACTTCATGTAGCGTTTAACAAAACGCTCCTAAGCTTTTGAAATAAATTACCATTAAAAATATATTTATATATTTATTTATTTTTAATCAATTGTCATTTTATAAAATTTTATATATTTCAAAAGCTTCCAACTATTTTTACCAAACATTCATATAACAAATAAAAGCTACAGCTTCTAGCTACCAACTAACCGCTACCCGCTTCCAGTTTACAGCTATTTTTTATAAATACGCCCTGATGAAAAAGCACGGAATATATATTCCTCTATTATTTTTTGAATATATTAGTTTTAAGACTTAACACACACAATTTGCTCATGACCCCAAAACGTCAAACAATATAAGCTTTAAACACAAGTTGATTTGAAAATATAAATTTTACGCGTAATTCACCCATGTTTTAAATAAAAATGATAAAAACAATAAAATAAACATTGATCAAAAGCAATTGTTCGAGCATTGCATGTATAATGCTTTACATGGATTAAAAACTCGTGAAACAGGGAATTTTGGGGGAAAAGCTACAGAATTTTGACGCGTGTACAGGTCCCTACACATTGAAACCCCCATGCATAAACCTTCCTTCACCTTCACTAGTACACACACAGCGATATTCATTCATTTGCACACTGCTATACCAATCACTCACTCGCATTTCAAGGTTTTTTTTTCTCACAGATCCGAGAATCGCTCCTTCGCTTTTCCTCGAACTCAACGCTTTAATCTGAATCGCTCCATTTCAGGTCTTTTTTATCACGATTTATGATGAAATTGTGTCGGGGATTTCTCAATTTTCTCAATTTTAGTTTTTTGAGTTTTGACCCATTGAATTTGTAGAATTTTCCGGGTCATCCCCTCTGCAACCTCGTAATTCTCCATCATTCGTCTGAATTTCAACATTTCTTCAATTTTTTTGTCTGATCCGGGTTTCACTTGGATTTCCATCCAATGCGTCCACGTTATGATTGAAATTTCTTTGGAATTGGGGATCTCAAAGCGTTATGTGTAGGTTCATATCTGTTGGTTCATTTTAGTGAATCTAGGGTTTTGATCGGAAGGATTAACGATTCAAGCTGTTCCACTTTAAACATTCATTATGGAATTGGGAACTTTGGGGGTTTCAAGGTATGAATCACCTTTTCATTTAGAGATTCATGTATACATTTTATCTAAATGACTTGATTGGTTCTTAGGAGAATGCCTATCGGATCACAGACGTAGTTCCAAACTGATTAGAATTTGCGTATGGTATCCATTGAGGGTCTGAAGTGAAATCAAGTTTCCTGTTCGGAAGCAGGAAACTACAAATTCGACTTATCATGGGATGCATGTGCTCGAAAGGAGTTTCACCCAACGAGTATTCACACAAACACCCTAAGAAATCATCTAAACGGTGGTTTAGATCTTCAAGAAGGGGTGAAGTAGTGGTGGAGGTTGATAACGGTTACAATGGTGCTAGTGCTACTACTCGACTTATACCAGAGGGTAATGAAGAAAACGTAGCAGCTTCAGCACTAACATTGTGGGATGATGATGATGGTGAGAAGAAAGACGTAGCCTCTCAGAAGTCCAACATGCAATTAATTCAAAGACCCGAGAAGATTATTGAGGGAAATGGAGGAGGAGTACATGTACATCAGCCTGGAAATTACAAAATATATAGCATCAGATATGGAGTTGATGAAGTGCAAGCTGCTGGTGGATGGCCACCATGGCTGACTGCTGTAGCAGGGGATGCAATTAAAGGATTGTTACCAAGAAAAGCAGAGTCTTTTCAGAAAATGGACAAGGTCTGAATCCTGAAACCCTTCTCTCTTCTCTTCTTTACTTTAAATTGTCCCTGAAAAGAGTTAAAGAGTACATTCTTTTCTGTTACATGGGTTTATTGCAGATTGGACAGGGGACATACAGCAGTGTATACAGAGCACGTGACCTTGAAACTGGGAAAATCGTTGCACTAAAGAAAGTAAGATTTTTAAACAAAGATCCAGAAAGTGTTCGGTTTATGGCTAGAGAGATAAATGTTCTTCGTAAGCTGGATCATCCAAATGTGATGAAGCTTGAAGGTTTAGTCACATCAAGAATGTCTGATAATCTTTATCTTGTGTTTGAGTACATGGAGCATGATCTTGCTGGGATTTCAGCTTCCCCAATGATTGAACTTACTGAATCACAGGTATCTTATACTATTTGTGTACAAGAAATAGCAAATTATAATTCGGTAGTAAGAAATCAATAAATGAAATCATTCTTGCAGATAAAATGTTACATGCAGCAGTTGCTTCGTGGGCTTGAACATTGTCATAATCGTGGGGTTCTCCATCGTGACATTAAGGGATCAAATCTTTTAATCGACAACAATGGGAATCTTAAAATTGGTGATTTTGGGTTAGCGACTTGTTTTTGCATGAATCAAAATAATAAACAGCCATTAACAAGTCGAGTTGTTACTCTGTGGTATCGACCTCCTGAGCTTTTACTTGGAGCTACAGATTATGGAGTTGGTGTTGACTTGTGGAGTGCTGGTTGCATTCTTGCAGAACTTTTTGTTGGCAAGCCCATAATGCCCGGAAGGACAGAGGTATTTTTTATTCATTATATTCTCACTTTTGAAGGGTATTTTAGACATTTCATCACCCTTTTCAATTCCCAACACATTAGGTACACCATACTTTGTTCCAAAATCATAGAAATGGTGTAATATTTGGTACAAACAGTAATTGCTTTTCAATCCACTGCACCATATTTAACACCAAAAAAATATTTTTGATATATGTATTTCTAAAACAACCTCTTTTTTTTTTTTTTTTTTTTACATAGTAGACCCACTCCTTTGTTACAAACTTACAATAACTTTTTATACTTTTTATATTATATTATGAAGAGTAAATTACACGAATGGTCCCTATGGTTTGAGGTAATCTGCGTATTTGGTTCTTAATTTATTTTTTTTACTTGGAAAGTCCTTATTGTTTGTTTTTGTTACACACTTGGTTCATACTGTTTGTTTTTATTACGCGTTCGGTCCTTATTTTACCTAAAAAGACTGTTATTTAAATAGGAAAAAATTGTGGGGTAGGTAAGGTGAGGTGAGGGGTTGAGGTTGGGGTGTGTTTATTTAAATAAATTAAAAAATCAATGGTAAAATAGTTTTTTAGGTAAGACATGGACCAAACGCATAACAAAAACAATCAGTATGGACCTTTCGAATTAAAAAAATAAATTAGGGACCAAACGTATAAATTACCCTAAACCATAGGGACCATTCGTGCAATTTACTCTATCATGAAACAATTATAATCAAAACAAACCATTCGTATATAATTTGTTGTCTTAATATTAAAATAACCATCTAAATAGTTTTGAAACATAAAAATTAAAACATATTGCTATTGCATATTAGTAAATAAATTTTAACATAAAGATTAATTTTAGTATAAGCAAGTATGTAACAGTTTAATATCAATATAATATATGATATAACGTAACAAGTAATGTCACAAAGTAAAATCTTTTATTTTTTGGTTTTGGTGATGAAGATTATTTGTGTAAGACAAAATTACAAAAATGGTTCTTATGGTTTGCTAAAAGTCACAAAGTCAGTTCTTATTAATTTTTTTTGATGTAAATAGTCCTTGTGGTTTGAAAAACTTGCACGGATGACCCTTTTTACTAACGCCGTTAGTATTCAGCCGTTAGGGACTGAATTCGTAAGGGGATTTTCGTCTTTTCAAGTATAAAAGGACTGAATTTGTGATACTTGGTAAACCATAAGGACCATTTTTGTAATCCGTCTAAAAATAATTTAATTGAGTGGAGGAGGATTTGAACTTGGGACCTCCTCCCCTAATCCCAAACCAACCTAAGCCTTATACCAATAAGCTGCATCCAAATTTGGTTTATAATTCTGAAAAATAAATTATATTATTTAAAATCGCAAAAAAGGATAAATTACAATTTTTTTACATAATTTTTTTTAATAAAACAAATTGTACTTTTACCGTATTGAAGAAAAAATAAAATTTTACAATTAGTTTATATTTTTTTTACGTTTTTATTTTACGTAAACTATTTTTTATTTATTTGAAAATATGTTTTTGTACAATACGCTATTATGTTGTTATAATCTTATACTATACTTTTATGTTACGTTAACGTCTTTAATTGGTTTAAAGCAAAATTACAAGTATTTTTTTGCGTAAAAATATTAAGAACATGATAACATAACGTAAAAAAATACTTGAATATTCGCTTTAAATCAACTAAAGATGTTAAGATAACGTAAAAATATATTTTATGATTTTAACAACGTAATAATATATTATATAAATATGTATTTTTTTAAATACATAAAAAAACATAATTCACATATATATATATATATATATATATATATATATATATATATATATATATATATATATATATATATATATATATATATATATATATATATATATATATATATATATAAAGAAAATGACACATTTTTAAGATTAAGTTTTTGTATAATATGTTATTACGTTTTTTTATGTATTTAAATATTACTAAAAAATGTGTAACTTTTTTTTTATATATTTATTTTACATGAAGTATGTTTTTATGTATTTAAAAAATACATTTTCATATAATACGTTATTACGTCGTTAAAATCATAAAATATACTTTTACGTTATCTTAACATCTTTAATTGATTTAAAGTGAATATTAAAGTATTTTTTTTTACGTTATGTTTTCATGTTCTTAATGTTTTTACGTAAAAAAAATACTTGTAGTTTTACTTTAAACCAATTAAAGACGTTAACATAACGTAAAAGTATACTATAAGATTATAACAACATAATAACGTATTTTACAAAACCGTATTTTTTAAATACGTAAAAAAATTATTTTACATAAAATAAAAACGTAAAAAAACATATAAACTAATTGTAAAATTTTATTTTTCTTCAATACGTAAAAGTACAATTTGTTTTATTTAAAAAAATTATGTAAAAAAAATGTAATTTATTTTGTTATTTTTTTTTTTTTTTTGCGATTTTACATAATGTAATTTATTTTTCGGAACTATAAACCAAGTTTTGTTGCAGCTTATTGGTATAAGGCATAGGTTGGTTTGGGATTAGGGGAGGTTCCAAGTTCGAATCCTCCTCCATTCATTTAAATTATTTTTAGAAGAATTACAAAAATGGTCCCTATGGTTTACCAAGTGTCACAAATTCAGTCCCTTTATACTTGAAAAGATGAAAATGCCCTTACGAATTCAGTCCCTAACAGCTGAATACTAATGACGTTAGTAAAAAAATACTAACGACGTTAGTAAAAAGGACCATCCGTGCAAGTTTTTCAAACCACAAGGACCATTTACATCAAAAAAAAATAATAGGGACTGATTTTGTGACTTTTGGCAAACCATAAAGGCCATTTTTGTAATTTTGTCTTTGTGTAAACTATTTACAGGTGGAACAAATGCATAAAATATTTAAACTTTGTGGTTCACCATGTGAGGAATATTGGAGAAAATCAAAGTTACCTCATGCCACTATTTTTAAACCAAAACATCCTTATAAACGATGTTTAGGAGACACATTTAAAGACTTGCCTCCATCTGCTTTGAATCTTTTGGATTCCCTTCTTGCAGTTGAGCCCAATAATCGTGGATCCACTTCTTCTGCACTACAGAGTGAGGTACAGTTGACCACTTTGACCTAAAATCTTCACTAAACTACAATTTTCATCCCTGTATTTACTTGATTTTTCGGTTTCAGTCCAAAAATGAATCTTTTTTCTTTTTTCTTTTTGGACCCTATTCATAATGTTTTTTCTCCCTCTCACCAAAATGTAGTTTACTCGGATTTTTGTATAATGTTTTATTTAATATTCAATGTAGTTCTTTACAACCAAGCCACTTCCTTGTGATCCTTCAAGTTTACCAAAATACCCTCCAAGTAAAGAATATGATGTCAAGCTACGAAATGATGAAAAAAGAAGGTAAATATAATTTCATTCTATTTAAGTTTTAACCAAACAGATGAAGATCCATGTTGATTTTTTTTTTTTTTTTTGGTTGGCAGGAATAAATTCGGTTCTACAAAAGCACGAGGATCAGAATCTTCTAGAAAAGATAGAATAAAATCAAGACCTTTTCCAGCACCCTATGCAAGAGAACAACATCATCAAAAACCTCATCATAGTAGTAATGTTAAAAACAGTCCTGAAGATACAGATAATGTCGATGATTATAATAAACACCACAAGGGATCCAATTTATCCAAGTTTTCGAATTCACATTCAGGAAAGTATCACCAATTAAACAATGCTGAATCATCTTGCAAGAAGCGTGAAAATCCCCCTGGAAAGGTATCTAAAACATCTCCCCTCTATGAATTCGCATGTAACTAGGGTTAGGTTCAAATGAGAATTACACAATTACACAAAGGTTTGATCATTTTAATTTTTAAATCCGAAAGCCCTGATTTGAGACTTTTGATATTATTACACATCGATTAAGGAACATTCTTTGAAAATCGAACCCTTGTTTTGGGAAAATATTACAACATTTGATTATTTTGATCGAGGGTTGAGATCACTTCTCACAGTTCTCAACATTTTATGCATTCTCATTTGAACATAAACCCTATGTTATGTATAAGTGTATTTATGCTATGAATATAAGGAATAGTGATTAAGTACATGTATGTGGTGTATACAAGCTTGTATATAAAACATGTTTGTACAATGTGACAGGGATCGAGATCATGCATCATGTTACATGGGAGACCTATTGGTATTTAACCATAAGTAAGAGGGTAAAAAGTGTAATATTATTCTTATTAGGTTAAAATTAAGACATTCTGAAGCCATAATAACATATTAACCCTCATTTTTTCCCCTATAGTAAGTAAGAGGATTTGATTTATTGAATTTGTTTTGATGGCAGGGATATGCTCCAAAGAAAACCCGGATCCATTACTCTGGGCCATTACTTCCACCTGGTGGCAATATGGAAGAAATGCTCAAAGAGCATGAGAAACATATTCAACATGCTGTGAGAAGGGCTCGTTTTGACAACAAGTATAGTAAAAGGGGGTATCATGAAAATTACAAAAATGATCAAAGGGAATTGTTACTTCAGTAAAGTTTCCCATGTGCCCTATTGTTCTATGCAATTTTGGTCAGGATTTGGGACTTCAAGTTATGGTTCATATGAGAATGAGAAATGATTTGAAGAGAAACAAGTTTTTTTTTTTAGAGTTTGTACAGATTTTACACGAAAGGTTATACTTGAGAGATATTCATGTAAATAATGAATGGGAGAATGCCCTAATGAGTAAATAAAGAGTATAGTGATTCATGGTTCACAAAGAACTATCATGAAAAGTGTTCTAGAGAGGTTTATTATTAGTTTAAGTATGAAGTTTACGATTACATTGAGATTTTTATATATAGAGCAGTGGTGATAAGGTCCAAAAGTAATCACTCTCCATAACTTAAGTGTTTTTTTTAATGGAGACTTGAATCTTCAACATTTTCCACAACTCAACAAGTATGTATTTTTAGAATGGTCAACTGAACTTGTAACCATTGGCTAATTTCTAACAACACATGAGATCGAAGGATCATAAATTCACATTGGTTTAACAAGACATGATATCGAAGGATCATAAATTCACATTGGTTGATCTTAAAATAATAGTATTAGTCATTCCTAATCCTAGCAATCAATTCCAATCCTTAATTTGTAACCCTAACCTAGTAAATTTAAAAGGAGATTTTGAGACCAAAAACTATTCATGGTGGAAGGTGGTCGACTATAATGAGAGTAAAATTCAAATGTTGATCCTACAAATTAACTCTACATGTTAAGCCAAATCATTAATCTTACCTCTCATAATCTTAATTGAATACTAGTTAGGGATAATCACTAAAATGATAAAAATGTGAGGTCACATATCATGAATGTCTATCTTTCTCGTATCTATCACCAAATAATTGTCCTTGCAAAAAACTTTAGTTTTGCTAATTTATGATATATCCATGGAAATCTTGTTTTTCTTCCAAAATTTTATATTTACTTTTGCAATTTTTTGTCACAAAACTAGTTTCTTTAAAAAATTTGCGATTTTTTTTTTTGCCAAACAAACAACAAATTTGATGTTAGAAAACCGAGGTATAGAATTATTTGGATCAATGAGAGTTGTGAAACACTTTGAGTTTAAAACATTTCGAGGATACACTCGAAAACTTCTAATCGAATAAAACTCATTGTTTGCAAGAAAAGAAAATGTAGAAGATGTTATGAAAAGTCTGGTAAATTTTGGAAAATCAAATTAACAACGGTTAGTAGCTTTGTCATTTTTTTAATTCTTAGCGAGACTAATAAAACTAAGGAGTTGTCTGATACGCCTCACATTAGGTCCGATAAGAAATTAGATTCAAACTGTTTGATACACCATTTAGAAGCCTCTGCTCAATCTTGTGATTTGCCTCTTACTAGGTCAATTTCAGGGCTTTAACTCAAGCAGCAACTATCAAACAATCTCTAAGACTAATTACAAATTTCTTTGCTACACTCTTTAAAGAGCCATGGATTTTTTCAAAATGTTTAATTATGGTACAGGTGGTCCATAAAACAATATTTTGTTGCATTTTTGTCCTTAGACCATCTAACTTGACGATTCAACCCTTAAAAAGAATCTTATACATCCATTTGATTAAATTCATAGATCTATAATCTTTCAAGAAAAATGAGTCTTTTTTAGGAATAAGAAATATAAAGGAGACGTCACAACCTTTACTATTTTTTCTGGTCACCTCAAAGTCTTTACTGACTTGAAGATATTTATTTTTAAGATTTCCCAAAACTCTTTTATGAGCTTGAACATAAATCCATTATGCCCAAGGATTTATCAACTCCACAACACCAAACCGCATATTGATTTCATCTAATGAATACTAGGCAACCAAGAAATCTCTATCATGTTAGGATAGTTCAATAAAATTTTGATGGATGAATTCTCATTTTCCTTTTAAAAATCCATGGATGTATCAATAAGATTCGTCGAATATTATCTCCCTTGTGATTACAATCTGGAATGAATGAAAAAAATCTGGAGATTTTATTAGACACACTCAATAATTACCTTTACCTTTGGGTTCTGAACTCTATTAGGTGAAAGAGAAACTCACGATATTACACATGGTTATCAACACCAACACCAAAATTTCATTTTATGAAGATTGACTTTTAATTCGGAATCAATGAAAAAACATCTAAGGAATCTATTAATGTTGATTAATTTTAGCTCCGACCATTTACTAATGAAAGTAATGGAGATACCTTGGAAAAGATGTTGCACACAAGATTCCTTCGTAGAAATGATCAAGGCTTCCATGGCAAGAACAAAAAGAAAGGATAAGAGAGGGTATCATCGACTAACTCCACATTTTTATTGGAAATTCAATAGTGCCAAAACCATTTACAAGAATGTAAGCACGACTAGAGGACAAACAACCCTTAATCCAATTTCTCCATTTCACAATAAAATCCATATATTCTAAAATGGAATCCACAAATCCCCAATTGAGCGATTCAAACAAACACCTTGTGAAAATCGACTTTAAAGATTAAAATATGTTTTCAACCTACAAATACAATTCATTTATAATAAGAGGACCATCAAGTATGCTCCTCCCTTTCTACATAAGTCGATTACTCCAGGCTCACCATTTTACCAATAAATTTCTTGAGATGCAATGTAATAGCCTTAGAAAGAATCTTATACATACATTTGATTAAATTCACAAGTCTATAAGCTTTCAGGACTCATTCAATGATTGCCTTTGGGTTCCGAACTCCATAAGTGAAAGGTAGACTCATGAGCTCACAACATAAAATGCTAGCAAAACTTACTAGCCTATCGTTATCAACGTCATCACCAAAAACTTTACTTTTATGAAGATAACTTTTATATCGATACCAATGAAAAAACATTTAAGGATTCTATTAAGGTTGATTAAGTTAAGCTTCCGCCATTCACCAATGAAAGTAACATCATCTGCGGAGATGAGATGAAAGAGGTCCGTTATTAGGAAAGGAGTTGAACAAAAGGTTCCTTCATAGAAATGCTCAAGGCTTCCATGGCAAAAACAAAAAGAAATCATGAGAGAGAGTCTCCTTATCTAATACCACACGCTGTAGGAAATTCGCTAATGGCAGAACCATTTGCAAGGATGGAAGCAAGATCGGGGCACAAACTAACCTTTAATCCATATTCTCCATTTCACACTAGAAAGCATTTGTTGCAATATGGAACAAAAAAAAGCCCCAGTTAAGCGAGTCAATTGCCATTTCAAAATCGAATTTAAAAGTTTAAATTCTTCTTTTTAGTCTTTTTAGCCCACGAATACAATTCATTTAAAATAAGAGGATCATCAAGTATGCTCCTCCTTTCTATATAAGCTGATTGCTCCAGGCTCACTACTTTGCCAATAACTTTCTTGAGATGCAATGCAATAGCCTTAGAATGAATATACATACATACAATTAAATATTTAAATTCACATGTCTATAACCTTTCTAGAAAAATGGGTCTTTATTTTTAGGAATAAGAGATATAAAGGAGGCATTAGAACCTTTATTGGTTTTGAGATGTAATGCAATAGTCTTTAATGAAATTAAAGACATTGATTTTTCAAAACTCTATAATGAGCTTGAACGTAAATCCATCTGGCCTAGAGACATTATCAACTCCACAACACCAAACTGTATTATTGATTTCATCCAACGAATATGAGGTAAAATCTCTATCATAATGGGACAGTTTCATAAAAATTTGATTGATGAATTCTCGTTTTCCTTTTAAAAAACCATAGATGTATCAATAAGCTTCGTGAATATCATCACCCTTTTAATTACAATCCGAATTGAAAAAAAATGGAGAATTTTATCATACCCACGCCATGTCATCCATGTGATAAATTCATATATTGCATTAGTAAGATAAATCATGTCTAAACAATGAATTGGTATTAGTCTAACAACATGTAAATCATCCAACGTTGCTTTTGGAGTCGGCTAAATTATGTTTTATAGCGGAAAGGCGTCCTAATTCGGTTTCTCATGGGCCTAGAGATCTTGCCCCAACACTCAATCAACTCTACAAGAACTTATGATGCTTTATTCAATTGTTACCAACTTTAAATTCTTACAGGGTCATGATTCATTCCTATGGGAAGTCAATCCAAACGGCGAATTTAGGGTCGATAACATTTGGCAACTGATTGATAGAAAAATTACTTTGACCGATGGAGATACAATAGTTTGGTTAAAAACAGTACCGCTAAAAGTGTTATGTTTTATATGGAAAGCGAAACTTAGAAGAATTATGTACCAGAGACCTTGATCAAAATAGGTGTTCGCATTCATCCCACTAGTTGTTTATGTGAATGTGAAGAAGAGACCATCAGCTGAAATTTTGTTCAATCGTCACTAGATTGGATCCTCAAGTGATGCGGGTTTACACAAAGACGTTTCACAAAGGTGGCGGAATTCCTCAACTTTGCTGTGGGATGGGGTAATTCTCCAAAAAAAAAAAAAAAAAAAGATCTTTCTAACTATCTTTTATGGATTCATATGGCGAGAATAAAATGTGAGAAACAAGAAAGTTTATAAAATTGTAGTGCAGTCCCCTATCTTTTATGGATTCATACGACGAAGATGGAACGCGAGAAATAAGAAAGTTTATAAAATGTTAGTGCGGTCCCCTATCTTTTATGGATTCATATGGCGAATACGGAAAGCGAGAAACAAGAAAGTTTATAAAATGGTAGTGCAGTCCCCTACTATTGTAACGGATAATGTAAGTTTTATTGGTGTATACATGGTATAAACCTAGGGGAAAGAATACAAACTATAGATGGACCGACTAGTGTTGCTCTAGGGATGTCAACGGGACCAAACGGGAACGGAAATAGCTGCCCCTGCTCCCGCCCCCGAAATCAGTTGTTGCCCCCGCTCCCGGTCCCGCCCCCAGCTCCCCCGTTTACATATCCCCCGGTCCCACCCCCATTCCCCCGGTTCCCCCGATTTATACGCTTAAAATTCGTTTTTTTTTTTTTTTTTGCTAAACAACTACTTTAGTTTAGGCTAAAAAGCTTATTTTTAATAACTTTAAAAGTTTAAAACATAATCTTTTAGAAACTAAAAATTAAAAATCCAACAGTAATAATTCAACATTACAAAAACGACAATTCCAACAATATTAAAAATATAAAATATGACAAATCCAATATTACAAATATAAAATACTTACATATCCAAAAAATATGATCAATTTACTACCTCTTCAATATCTATTAATTGGAAACGGGAAAATGAAACCTAACCTACACCTAAAATTAGAAAATCTATTTTGTATATGCATTTTATATTAAATATATATTTTTTTACATAATTGTACAACCGGG